ATTGAAAATACCATGGCTTGGGTCAGGCACACATTAGTCCTCAAAGTTACATCTTTGCTCTTTAACACTTTAATGAAGTCTTTTGCAGCAAAATTTCCCAATGCAGTACATTGTTTAATTTCCACGTATGTTGATAGTGGATGTAACTCAGTGCTGCGGAGTGGATCCTTGGATTTCCGAGGCGCTATCTCCACAGAAGTAGATTGCCAATCTTTCTTCCGGGGAGTGGATGGTGGGTTTGAATCACAACCCTTCTGGTTAGCAATCAGATACCCTAGGCACTACACCACAGGAGCTCACTGATTGTGGATGTTAAGTAAAATGAAATCCTTGAGAACACTAACCTGTTCTCCAGTTGTCATGATGTTGCTTATTGATCCAGTTAAGGATGTTTTATGTTTGGGTGCAATCCATACCGAAGGCTGTATCTTTCATGTTCACCAGAAAGTGATTCGAATTCTCTCAGCTTTCAATAAGCAAGATTGTGTCAGCTGCGTAACACAGGTTTTAATGAGCCTTCCTGGAATCCTGATGCTGCTTTCTTCAGACAACATTCCACTGCTATTCACAAGGCTTTTAGTGCCCAATTTTTTCAGAAGTAGATCTTCTGGCCTGGAAGCCCTGCTGAAACCTGTCCATGCATCTGTGACCCTGCTGATATGTGAAACACCAGTGACACAGCTTCCAGCATCATAGCATCGCCCAAGTCACCACAGGACAACAGACTGACAAGTCGTGGAAGCTGTGTATGTAAGCTATATGTGTTGTTGATAGATGCTGTCGAGTCTGCTCTGAATCACAGTGACCCTACATACAACAGAATGAAGTACTGCCTGATCCTATGCCACCCTCACAATCCTTGCTATGCCAGAACCCATCATTGCACCCATTGTGTCAACCATCTTGTTGAAGGTTTTCCCCTTATTCGTTGATCATCTACTCTACTAAGCTTGATATCCTTCTCCAGGGAATGGTCTCTTCCAACAACATGACCAACGTAGGTGAGAGAAGTCTGGTCATTCTCACTTCCAAGGAGCATTCTGACTGCACTTCTTCTAGGACAGATTTGTTAGTTCTTTTGGCAGTCCATGGTACTCTAACTATTCTTCACCAACATCACAACTCAAAACTCTTCTTCCGTCTTGGGCAAGGGAGTGCGTATACCAATGTGAATGAGCGTCTGGAAAGTGCAGATGGGAGTGTGTGACTTAGGTGCGAATAGGGGCCTAGAGTGATACCAGTCCCAAAGGGCTGCCTCCATCCCATGGCAAACAAGAAGCAATCCTGAGCTCCAAAGCGGTATGGATTTAGAGGCACCACTGCCGGCCAGTTCAGGACCATGGAACTTGAGTCTTCCACATCAGAGTGGCCCAGGTGGTCCCTTAGCAAACAGGCACTTCCAGCAGGGAGCAATCCTGGCTGGCTGAGATTCCTGGGGGCCCAGCTACCTCCTGAGGTGGTAGCAATGGCCCAGGCTGAAACCCAAGGCCTCTAACATCCAGCTCCAGGAGCTCTGTGTCCCTCATGACCTGGCCCAGGACCTGGTCAGTGTGGTGTTCAGGAGCCAGGGGCCCCTCTTGGAGCCTGTGGCACAGTAGGGAGCCATCTTTAACCTGCCGTAACGATAATCACAGTAATAATAAATTCAGGCAGGAGACAGTAATACATGCTAAAACAAATGGGTCATGGTGGAATAAGAACTCAGATGTTATCAAATATCACCACAAAAAATAAGGATTCTTTACAAAGGCAACTGTACTAATTTTACAGAAGACAAGCCTGGCAGAGAGTAATTTAATCAAATGATCTAAATTAAGACCACAAGGCACAAATCAAAATTGTGTCAACCTTTGGATGCAATGAGAATAGCATGGCAGCATTTCTGTGACATTTCTGCCAAAGATGCATAATCTGCTGGTGCAGTTAAGGGTTGCCTTCCATCTGATTGCTTCTGTCCGCTTGACATTAGTGTTCAGGGCAGTTCTAGCTCTAATTGCCAGCCCAGATTTTGCTTTCCCTTCACCAATGGCCCATTCAAGTGCTTGTCCCAAAACTGAAGCGCCTTCTACCCTCAAATCTTCTTGAAGATTCTTTCGTCAATATTTTGTCAGAATAACCTGCTAGGATTTCTATTGAGATTGCATTGAAACCACAGGTTAGATGGGTGAGTGAGGACAGATGGACATCTTAATGCTGAATCTTTCCACTTGAAAACATGGCCTCACTTCACATCTATGCAGATCTTGTTTAACTTCACTCAGCTTGTGCTCTGTAGTTTTCAGAGAAGTATTATATACTTCATGGAGCCCTGGTAGCACAGTGGTTAAGTGCTGGACTGCTGACTGAAAGGTTGCCAGTTCAAACCCACCCAGCAGCTCCATTGGAGAAGGGTGCAGTAGTCTGCTTCTGTAAAGACTGTAGCCTTGGAAACCCCATGAAGCAGTTCCTTCTGGCCTATAGGGTCACTATGAGTCAGAATTGACTCCACAGCAACAGGTTTATTGCATACTGTTAGATTTATTCCTAGATTTTATGTTTTTTTGATACTCTAAATAGCAGGAGCTCTGGTGGTGTAGCGCCTAAGGCATTTGACTGCTAACCAGAAACCTTGTGATTCAAGCCCACCAGGTACTCCTGGGAAGATTGGGCAATCTACTTAAATTTTATTTTCCCATTATTGGTTACTTTGTTGTTGTTGTTATGTGCTGTCCACTCGAACCCGACTCATAGCGACCCCTCCTTGGGCTTCTGAGGCAGTATCACTACGGAAGTTGACTGCCTCATCTTCCTTCCGAGGAGTGGCTGGTGGGTTTGAACCACCAGCCTTCTGGTTAGCAGTCAAGTACCTTAGGCACTACGCTACCAGAGAATCTTTTTACCGAGTTGAGGAAGTTTCTATTTATAATTGGTTGATAGTTTTTAATCCTTAGCATTCCCTTCAAAAGGTGGAGCTTAGGTCTTCCAACCTTGAGTTTGGGCTGAATATAATGACTTGCATCATCTAATGAACAGAAACCCCGCGAAGACCAAGGCCCGCCCGGCTTGTAACCGGCCTTTAAACTCTCTCAGCCTCCCGCCGCTGGCCGAGGTCAGCGCAGCGCCCGTCTCACAACCAGAAACAAGGTCCACATATGTTCCCTTTTCCCAAGGAAAAAAGGCGTCGGACAGGATGCAGCTTGCACGTCGAGTCGCGATAGCGCGTCCAGCACCGCCTGGCAACCAGAGAGCTAGAGCCGCCGCATGCGCCGCGAGGGGCGAGCGGTGGTCCTGCCACCCTGCGTTCTCCAGAGGGGCCAGACCGGAAGACGCCGCCGTGGGGTTCGCCGGGCGTCTAACGACGATAAAGTCTGGGACTTCACGTGGCAGCTGACAAGGTCCGCAAGACCCAGACGCGGCGGGGACACAGTCAGGAGTCCACACAGGGAAGCCAGGACTAGGGTAGGCGGAGCGCCCCGGGGCTCTCAGAGAGGGGTCCTTCCGGTTTCCTAGAGCGGCCCGGAAGCGACCCTGGGGGCGGGTCCGGCGGGCACGCACTGCTTCCGGCCGCCGCCGCTGCTGCTCCCCCGCAGTTCCGCTGGGGATTGCGTGTGCCAGGTACGGGGACCCGCGGGGGGAAGGACGCGCGGGGAGTGTGGGTGCGGTGGGGTCGTTTTCCCTGCCCTGTTCGTGGCCTGCGCGGTGCTGTAGCAGGGTGGGCGGCGGCGGCGGCCCGGAGCACAGCCCTTCTCCGGCTCGTCGCGGGAGCCCTGGAGGCTTTTCCGCCATAGGGAGGATCGATCCAGTGGCTCGCGTCGGGGGTGGGACGAATGAACAGCTGTGAGCGTCCACCTAACCCTGTACATGCACGCATACTCCCAACACCCACTTTAGAGACGCGGTTACTGAGGGGACCCGGTGAAGTGGCCGGGCCCGCCGCGGACCCGCTAGGGTGGCAATCGAGCCTGCGGCTGCCTTCCGAGTCCACCCGTTCCGCCACTGTGTGGCTGGCAGAGGGAGACCGCGGAGGCCACCAGCACGTGGGGTCGTTCTCGGGGGACCTCAGGGAACAGGGTCTGGGCAGCGCACTTCCCCTTAGTCTAGGCACTACCAAAATGTGCACTGGGAAATGGGTGCGGTGAGCCCTTACTGTTTCTGGTTTCCCCAGTGCTCTGCCACACCCCGACCCGGCTGTGCTGGGAGTGTTTGGGGCCTAATAAACTCCTTGGGGACAGGAGCTGTGCTTTGCCAATCTCGTTTCCAGAACCTGGTGGGTTGAGTTGGGCAGGACCATTCCTGAGTGAGCAGGTGTACTGGTCTCTCACCTGTGCTGGGCTGGTGAGGTGCTGCCCATCAGATCATGGTATAGCCCTTTTCTTCAGTTACCTCTCGTCCATCTGTGGCCACCCATCGGTCATTTTAGAGTTCATGTGTCTTCCAGCCTTGGGGGCTCTGTCTGGCCTCCAGTGCTGCAGCACAACTCATGGGGACTTGAGAGTAGACAGGCCTGGGTTCCGGCCAACTTCTGCATGGTGTTCCAAGCCGGTTTCTTTACCTGCAAAGTGAGAGCATTGACCAGCTCTTGCAGAACAACTGTCAGGACTCCAGGTGGAGTATGTGAGTGGTCTTGGCGTGGCTAGTGGCGGGAGCGGCGGAGGCCGAGTCCCTGCACCTTTGTCCTCATTTGTCTTTCACCTGGAAATGTGTTGTGGTCCCCGGTCCTGGTTCTCTGACTTGTCTTCCCTTCTCCTTCTTCTCCAGTTCCTGCTTATTCTTCAGTCTCCGCCACCACTTCCTTTGGAAGGCAACCCTCTTCCCTGGGGTCCCTTTCCTACCTGCTCCCAGGCCACACCCACTACACAGAACTGTCATCAGTGGTTCACATTGTCCTGAAAGCAGGGACCACATCAGTCCCTGCAGTGGCACAAGGAGTCACTGGGCTTCTCCTTTCTCCTCCTCCTCCAGGCAGCATCATCTGAGGGAGCTGCCCTCCTGGCTATTGGATTAAAGGGGAGGAAGCAGTGATGTCTGCTGTAGGGGCTTCAGCCCCATACCTGCATCTTCCTGGTGACAGTTACAGTGGCCGGCTGAGTTTCCTGGGGGGCCAGCTTCCTCCTCAGGTGGCAGCAATGGCCCAACTCCTGGGGGAGCTGGACCGGAGTTCGTTCAGAAAGTTGCTGAAGCTGGTGGTCAGCAGCCTGCAGGGAGAGGACTGCCGAGAGGCTGTGCAGCACCTTGGAGCCAGCGTGGGCCTGCCGGAAGAGAGCCTGGGTGCTCTACTCGCAGGTGTGCACACCCTGCTCCGGCAGGCCCTGAGGGTGCCCCTGGCCAGCCTGAAACCTGAGGCCTTCAAGAGCCAGCTCCAGGAGCTCTCCGTGCCCCAGGACCTGGCTGAGGACCTGGCCAGCGTGGTGTTCGGGAGCCAACGGCCCCTCCTTGACTCGGTGGCCAGGCAGCAGGGAACCTGGTTGCCCCATGTGGCCAACTTCCGGTGGCGGGTAGATGTGGCCATCTCTACCAGCTCTCTGGCCCGCTCCCTGCGACCGAGCGTCCTGATGCAGCTGGTGCTCTCTGATGGGTCGGCACACCGCTTTGAAGTCCCCACAGCCAAATTCCAGGAGCTGAGGTATGGTGTGGCCCTGGTCCTGAAGGAGATGGCAGATCTGGAGAAGAAATGTGACCGCAAACTCCAGGACTGAACCCACCAGGACAGCTGCGTGGATGTGACCTGGACCACAGCCTGCTTGTCCTGGGGCAGGCGTTGCAGCAGAGGCACTGAGTGACAGTTGTGGCATTTCCTTTTATATTGAAGAACACAACTGTGCCTGTTTGTTTTTGAGAAGTAAAACAGCTATAAGAGCCCTGTCCTCCTCACTGGGTGCCAGGGGAGAGGGCAGCAGGGTTCCGCTCTTGGTACTTCTAGGGTGGGCGTGTACAGAGGCCACGGGCAGCTTTGCTCCCTCAGCATCACCGTACTACGTGCAGTGGCCTTGGGGTGCTGTGCTGTGCAGAGCCTTGTCCCTTTTCCTGTCAGACCATGTTGCCCTGGCAGTGTCCCTGGGCCCTCTGGTCCACTCTCTGTTTGCTCTCTGTGGGGATCCCACGTCTTGTATGAGTGAACAGGCCTGTGTGGCCTGGGAATTTCTGATAGCAGCAAATGCACATGCGAGCCCACCTCACCTCTGCAGCCACCCTGGGTATCTTGTGAGCTCCCTGTTCCCCACGGGCCACCACTTGCTGTCCCCTCGCCTGTGTGCCTGGAGACTGGGCTGCCTGCAGAGGACGAGGCAGTCGTCATGTCCACTCCTGGCACCTTGTAGTACATACAAACCAACAGGAAAAGCTAAAACACAAAACACACACACAGTTCCAGAAACACTACAGGTGACTGCACAGACAGCCCTGGAAACGTTCTGACCTGTTTCTTTCTAGACTTCATGCTTGTCCTGTGTGTGTATCTGAGTCTGTGTGTCTGTGCATGTCTGTCTGCATATGTTGATGACCACGTGTTTATGAACAACATGGGTTGTTCGTGTAACTTCCCGAGTATAGCAGTTGTATGTGATGGCTGCAGAATGGGCCATCCAAGTGGGCGTGTGGTAGTTTGCCTAACTGTTCCCTTATTGATGAACTTCTAGGTGTTTTTCCAGCTTGTTTTTGGCTACTGAAATCCACCCAGTGATGCTGGTGCTCATACCGAAACTACTTGAGGCGAGATCATGAAACGCTAGAGTGTGAACATTTTAATGCCTTTGATTCTCTTGCTTAATTGCAACTCCCCTGGGCTTGTTCCTTCCTTCACTACTGGATGGTGCTTCTTGAGTGTCCCCTGTGCCCTCTGGCAAGACAGCTATGAGCACATATCTCCTGCAAAGTTACCTGTATGGCTGCAAGGACTTGGCTGCATAGCTCACCTTTACTGAGGGGCTCTCAGGAGGTGCTAGGTGAGGGCCCCCACATTACAGGTTGGGGCAGTGGAACTCAGCGGTAGGGTCTGTCCACCTTCAGCTTTCCCTCCCCCTTTCCTGGGGGCAGAGTGTCTTTTCAGCCCTCCGTGTTGGGTGTGGCCCTGTGTTTTATGATGAGTGGGGCTGAAGGGACACTGCCCACCCCAGGGGAGGCTTCAAGAGACCCTGTCCTCATGTCCTGAGTGGCTGTTGCTCCAGAATGAGCTGAGCCTGCCGGTGGCCAGGTCACATTCTACCCATAGACTCTTAGGAGTGAAAGCCACCAGCAGTTGGTGCTGTGTGTTATGCAGTATTATTGATGCAGTCAGTGGGAGAAGTCAGGCTGGCACCCTGAATCTAGCCTGGCTATGTTCCTCACCGTGTGCTCTGCTGCCAATGATCCCTGTAGGGAATACCCCTCTAAGTCATGGGCTTGGTGGCAGTGAGAGAGGCCAAGGTCGTTACAGCCCTTGGTGAGAGTGTCCTGGGGGCAGCATGGGGGACAGGACAGAGCCAACATTTGCAGTCATGACCTCAAGTCTTGCTGCAGTCCTCCCCATTAACAGTTGTTTTTCCATTTCTTAGGTACAAAAAGGACAAGGAGGCCACATATTCTGACCTCCTAGAACCCCACAAGAGAAAGGCAGAATCACCATCAATAGCCCAAGACCTATTACTGCAAGGCCAGACATGCTGCCTCCCTCCAGCCCTTTCACCAACCGTTCCTCCCAAAGCACCCACCACCTCTCTCCTGGGTTCAATAATTCACTGCAGTGGCCACACACAACTCACAGATTATGGGGTTTATTAGGGAACACCAGGCTACAATTCTAGTTCAGGAAAAATGCTCAGTCTCTCTCCCCAGCCTGCTGTCTCTCAGCCAAGTCTCACAGTCTCTCCCCTAGCAGTGCATGTCCCTTGGTGTCTTACTCAGCAATGTGTGTCTCTTGCGTCTCTTTCCCAGCAGCACATGTCTCTTTCAGGAGCACGTATCTCTTTTGGCAGCATATCTTCCTCAACCAGCAGTCAGAGAGAGTTCTGCCTCTAGGAGGCCTCCTTTTGAGTTTGGCAGAGTGGCCAAACCAACCAATCATAACAAGAGAATTCTAAGCACCTGAGAGTGAGCCTCCCATAACATTGTGTTGTGCCACACCCAACAGAAATAACCCAGGTGGATAACATTTACAATCAGGAGTTCCTCAGTTGCTCATTCCACCACTGAGTTTACAATGACTTATGGGTAGAAAAGCCATACTAAGTAATTTACTACACTGCATTAGGTAAACTGAGGCTGAGAGATCACGTGCTTCACATGAGTGAGAACAGAACTCTTGTGGGCCCCTCTCTCTCTTGGGCCAGCCTGGCTGTTTGTCCCCAACGGCTCCACCATTATCGGCGGTGGCAGCCACAGACAATAAGCAAACAAGTGGGTTATGGCCACTCGTTCCAGTAACATCTTATTTACAGATACTGAAATTTGTGTTTCATGTGTCACAAAATACTCTTTCATTTTTTCCCACCCACTTAGAAACCATTCTTAGCTTTAAGGCCCAGAAAGACACCGTGAGGAGGGCAGAATTTGGGCCTCCAGCAGTTTTGCCAAGCACTGCTCCTGCTATTGTGGCTCCCTCTCGCCCCAGGCCAGGGCAAGGGCCTCCCTGTAACCCTCAGGACTCTGGCTGAGATGCAGAGTGACTGTCCATCTAGTGCATGTCAGTTTCCATGACCAGACCAGGACTCCTCCAGGGCAGGGCTTGCCCTTTTGCACCTCTTTTTCCCCTTGCAGAAGGGACAGATAATTGGATCTGAAAAGGTGCCCCTTTTGCTTCTACTGGCTACCTTTAGGATTAGTTCTTTTTGGGGATACTTTATGCTGGTGAATTTCCTCTTGCCTGAATGCTCCCCAAGTGGGTCATCCATTCACTGAGCAAACACTTGGGCTTTGAGTGAGCCACTGCACTGGGGTCTGGGCCTGCCCTCACTCAGCTCCATTTTGTTTTATTTGTGAAGTTTTTAGAAAGTTCAACACAGTTCAGTTCAGCCTCACAAAGATTACTCTGATGAATGAGAGAACATTTCAGACCAAAATTACGGGTTTATTTTGATTATTAATTGGTCTTCACAATAAAAGTCCCAAGTGTTTAAAATCTAGTTTGAGGTAGAATTCTGGAAATGTTTAAAATGAGTTTACTGTTTTATTTATGGAAGCTTATAGTCTATGACTAAACTGCATGTGGACCAAGAAGAGGTAAGGGAGGGAATCAGAAAGCCAGGCCTTATAACACTCAACAGTTCTGATGCCTATGGACAGTGGGTGGTATGGGATGTCTGTTGAACACCTTGACTGTTGTCCATTGTTGGGTGGCCTGTAAAACCTAAAATACGATATTGCCCTTAAAAGCTGACCTAGATAAAGAAGTGATGACCACTTGGTTGGGAATATTACTTGCTGAGTCCCTTTACAGTAGCCAAAGCCACCGAGGTGGAGGGTGTACACTTTACAAAAGGGTCAGGGTCCTTATGTACCACTCTGACTCTTGGTCACAGAGAAAGTGACAATCCTGGCACCTGGGGAAGGAACACCTTAGAACCCTTGGGAGGGACAAGAATGAGGTGACAACCTACAGTCTGTGCTCTGTATCTGGCACCACTGTACACTTTAATCTAGGTGTTTTAGTTCTCCAGTGCTGCTGTAGTAAATACCACAAATGGATGGCTTTAACACACACTTTCACAATTTAGGGAGCTGGAAGTCCGAATACAGGGTGCTGACTAGGGGAAGGCTTCTCACTCTCAGCTTAGGAGAAAGGTCCT